TTAGATATTTAAGCTTAAGAACGTAAAAAATTCCCGGGGAGGGTCAAAAATCACGTGCTTACAATGATGATCGTTGACTTTGATACGATCAACGCTTGTGCTAGGATCTTCCCTTCTGGAGTTAAATAATAATCCATGCTACTTTGGGCCTTGTGAGTACAGGCACACATTTAGTGACGAATCCAAACTTTTATATAAGCGAGTTTAAACATATACAGAAGTCCTAATAAATAATCGACAATAAAAGTGATATTAAGTTAACAAACAATAAAGTTTACTTAGTGTTTTTTATTTTGGTTCTAACAAAACCTTAAACAATATATTTTTCTACCTTTACAATTTAATAATTTATTGAACTCAATGTTTTTACAATTTTTACTGTAACAAACATAAGTTTGATCTATATTAAAATACTAAACTCTATATATTTATTATTTTTAATTTGACTTGCACTAACTGTTAACCAAAAAAAAAAGATCTAAGTTATATTAATAATTTCATATAGAAATTTCAAAACTATGGGAAAACGAAGATGAAGTGTATAACGAGAAAACATGAGATTTCCCGCTTGAACCATCCGACCATCACACAACTTTGATTAAGGGGGTTCAACTGCTTTACTTTTTTACTAGTTTGTTTTTTTGAAAAATAATTTCCACATAAAAATTGTAAAAAATATTTACGAAGCGGGTTGAATTGAACCCCCTTGAACCTACATGGGTCCGCCCTTGCACACGTTACGTGCTGGTTGGGGAACTTATATCAGGCATCCGTACAACACTGAAAGTGTATATATGTGTCTGTGTGAGGATTCATGGGCATCTTGCTAGGCACTGTGACAGTGTTGAGACTGTGTAAAGTCCCGGACTAGTTTCAAGGCTTAAACTTTGAGCTTAATGACGTAATTAAGATGCTCCAAAGGATAAAAGAACCTACACGGTCTAAACGAGGTATTTGGAGATACGCCAATTTATACATGGAGCCCGTTTGGCTTAGCTAATTTAGAGTAGCTGATAAGCATTAGGTGCTGAAAATCACTTTTAAGTGCTGGAGTTGATTTAATAAATAAACAGTTACGTATTTGGATAAAAGTGCTGAAATTAATAATAAGCAACTGAAATGATGATAAGCTCTTTATATGTTAAAATGACTTAAATGACCTTATAACAATTTATACTACTAAAAGCGTCATTTTTTCGAAATTTTAGGGTAGGAATCTTACTTGAGGCTAACAGTTAATACAAGTCGCATATGTATAATAATATGAAGAAGACAAGTGAATTTTGTTACCTCAAATTGCCGACAGAAATCTGAAGAATTGTAGGGGTACGGGATGGAAAATTGCAGATGCACGGGCTGTTTAGGTTTTGAAGAACTGGAAAAGAGTGAAACTATACGAGGAGTTTTGTTTTAAAAAGAAGTATTTTAGGGATATAATAGTAAATATTTTGGTCAAACCTAAAGTGCTTATAAGCTGAAATTTGATAAGTTGGGGGAGACCAACTTATGGCTTTTGGTTTATTTTTGGCTTATAAGCACTTTTAATTTTACCGAACACGTAGATAAGTCAAAAAGTGCTTATAAGCCAGTTTGACCAGCTTATAAGCTTAGCCAAACACCCTCATGGTATGGTTATTAGAGATAAAATGACCGAAGGATTTAAAGGAAGAAAAAAGAAAGAAAATTGACAAAGTGAGCGGGCCAAAGTCCAAAAGAAAAGTTTTGAGACACAATCATCATATCATCATCATACTATATTATAAGTGGGAAGCCCCTAAAGTTAAAGTTAGATCATCATCATCATCATATCATCTCATCATTATACTATATTATAAGTGGGAAGCCCCTAAAGTTAAAGTTAGATTACGAAAATACCCATCAAAAGCTGAGGGACATTTTTATCCCTCAATCAAACACAACTCTATATAAAACTATGTACAAAAACGTAAAATTACATTCTATTAAAATAACAAAAAGGTTAAAATAACCAATAGTAAATTGTAATAATTTATCACTATAATAAATGGTGTTGTGTCTCTTCGATTAGCTGCAACACATGTATATGTTAGAGCTAATTTTAACCGTTCTCATATTCTATCTTCTTTATTTTCTATTATCTTGACCTTTCAGTTTTTTATACATTCTAAATGAATTCTTAATATACATTCTATTAAGATAACAAAAAAAAAAAAATTAAATAAGAATAACAAAAAAGTAAAAGTAAATTTTGAAAAGAAAAAAAAAACGTGGGAAGCTGTTAATGTCCCCAACTGTGAAATATATTTACATGACCAGGTTTTAATATCATTTTGGCTTTTGATTTTCTTGTAAATATTCAAACACGAAACATCTCATTAGTAAAGGTAAGAATCACACGTGCAAGTTCAGTGGTTTTATCAAATAAAAGTAATGGTTTGATTACAAAGTTTATTATTACGTCAAGAAGTTCGTATGCCTTTTTTGTATCCCAAAGAATGAAAATGTAACAAATAACAAAGAATTATTTCATCCGTTGCAGAAAATCATTAGATAGTTAATTAAATGGTGATCAGTAATAATCAACTTATATAAGTGAATTTTTAAAGCAATAATATTTATAAGCCTTAGCATGTAAAGCTTATCTTCATTCGATCGGTTTTACTTTATCAAAGCCTTCTGAAGTAACTCATTCTTGCCAAAACTTTTCGCTTATTGCACTACAAGAAAGTAAGGATATAACGACATTTATTTAGTGACATTTGTAATAAATGTCGGGAAAAAATGGATTTCTCGACATTTATGACAAAATGTAGTAAAAATAATGATATTTGTGACAAAATATAGTAAAAATAACGACACTTGAATCAAAGTATTGTAAAATAATAACATTTGATACAAAATATCGTAAAAACAATCACATTTTATATTAAATGTCATAAAAATAATTACATTTGATGCAAAATGTCATAAAAATACCGACATTTGACATAAAATGTCAAAAAGATTGTAACATTTATTTTAAATGTCATATATAAGTCGGTAATTACCAACATTTACATTAATTGTAAATCATTATTTGTCTAGAAGCAAAAAAAAATATTATTTTTATTTAATACTATATATTTTTTGGTATTGTGATAATTTACCCACAGAATAGATGAGTTCTCTTATTATTAATCAATATTTTAAAAGGCTTTTGGGGACTCGCCGGCCTTCGGGTGCAGCACTTGTAAAATGGCATGAGTTTCACGTGTGAAGTTTAGTTTTATGAGGCTTATGTACGCTCAAATGCCTAATAATTGTGCACTATTGTTTAACGCTTGTGTGACCAAATAGTACCTATGTAAATTATGCGTTAAATTTCTTAATTACTATTATTGACCCTCAAGAATACTTTACCAAATGAATGATAAAGTTTTATTGATATATAAAAAATATGAAGATTGAGATTAACTCAAATAACAAAGTCAAAGTATAGCATATTTACTAAGTGAGAACATCACAGTGAATATTATTTGATTTCTTCTGCAAATATACAAATATACGAAATATATATCTTCACTTATAATTGGTCTCGATTTCTTAGTTTTGTGTGTCTAAAAATATTAAAATTTTATTATTTTATAATCTGAAAGTATTTATGTATTTATTTATGAAGGAGTAAATTTTAAATTACTATATAATTTATTGATTATTATTTACTTCTAGGGGAAGCTAATTATGTATAGTTGATAATATTTTTACAGAATTTATTATTTATTTAAAAGTTATGACATTATAATTGATTTGTATCTTATAATAATTTTAACACTATTGCATTATTTATACTTGAAAAAACATGTTAGATATTTTATTTTTTACGAGTTTTCTTATCTTTTTATTTTTTTAAAATTTTAATGTACTTTTTATTGTCCGCATTATTATACTATTTTGTAAATTAAAAATTAAAATATTATGTTTATTCAATAAAAATATAACTAGCACCTGTTAAATGTTGAATTTAAAAACAAAGTAAACAAAATTAAAAAAAAATATACAAACAGAGACCATTTATGTTTGCATAATTGCTAACCAAAAGTTAGCGAATTGTTAAACCCAAACGGCCGAAACCTCAAAGCCCTAACATATTGGGGATTCTAAAATTGGCTCCATCTTTTACCAAACTTAGTCTAATTTTAGTCAAATTTGATTTCCATCACCGCAATATACTCCCTCTCTACAAATTGTGCTATGTATGGAGAGTATGAGAGATTTAGAAGGAAAAGATTTTGGCGGTAAGAATTTTTGGATTCCCTCCTCCTAATTCTAAAATTACAGTTTCCTTTATTAGTTAGAACTCGACAACCTAATTTTGCATATTTAATTGGAGGTTTAAGGAAACAGAGAAAGGGAGGCAAGCTATTGGAAGAACATTGATGTAGGGTTCAGACTCTTGGTGAGGCTTTTGCAGGTTCTTATCTGTCTTCTGTTTAATTTAATACTATGTAAATCTAATTATTTGTAGTGTAATAGTTAAAAAAAGTATTTTTGTGTTTGATTTAATAATCTCCCTCTTTGTGATAGGTTTTTGATAACTCACATGAAGATCACCAACAATAATTATCACCGGTTTCAGTTGTTCACAAAAATAAGGTGAGTTTTAGATCAAAGTTACGAGTTAATTGCCCAAGTGTTATAATCTCGTATTTGAGCAAAATATGTGGGAGTTTAACTGTCGATATATAAGATATATAGCAAATTACGTAGTGTGGCTGTAACCTGTTTGAGTTGTAGTGCAAACTAATTTCGAACAATAGCTTTATACCTCACTTAGAATGCATTTGTGGAAAACTACATTCATACTCATCTCCACCATTCCTTTATTTCTCTTCTATTTAGACAAATGCAAAATTCAGTCTTATATCACCATCAGATTCATTATATTTATTCTTATTTATTCTATTGTTTGGAGAATTGAGATTATCTTATAAATTTGTGAAACTCAAATCTTTTCGGGTTACTAGTTTTTCAGAATGAGAGATACAAGTTGTAGTTTTGGCCTGACTTATTTCTTTATAATTTTTGCCTCGTCAGTTTTAGTTTAGTTTGAAATAAGTTCTGTCATCGTTTGGTTGAAGTATGCTTAATTGTAGCTACATTTTTTGATTGATGTTCACTTGTCTATGAGCATTTTAAGAATTGATGGGTCTATATTGGATGATATCTTTGTGATTTGAGAATAGTGAAGCATTTAGTTCAAAAGAACTTTTACAATGTTGTCACAGAAGGAGTTCTAGTATAAATGTGTTGTCAATATTGCCTCCAGACTTTTGCTTGTAATTTAAAGTTCTTATGTTATTTTTGTAGAAGTGTGCGACATTCTGGGGCTATATAGGCTTTGTCTTGTTGATTTTATCTTGTACTCTATATAGGCTATTTATTACATAGTTTTAATTATCCTTTTATGTGATTCTTTACAGAACTTCTGAAGGATAATAAGATCAATTATTGGCAAGGAATACTTGGATTGTGGAAAGATGGATCCATACATAAAGCCTTGCTTCAGAATTTATTCTGGAATTTAAGGGAATTCGTTTAGATTAGAAGTGAATTTGACATAGTTCCATGTTAAAATTACTTTATCTTTTATGATTTAATTTGAATTACATTTTATTTGAGATATAATAGATCATTTAATTTGAACTCTTAACTTGTAAGGAGAACCCTTATTATGTCAGTTACTATGTTCTTCAAATACAACGTGAGAAGAAAATTTTTATTTTTCATATTTGTTACATTGTGTGTAAAGATTGACATTTATGAATGTACAAATCAAATTAATATGTATGAGTCACGATGAAAAACTAAATAAAAGATTATTATTTATATTTTAGAAATTTGATATGCAAATTTTAAAGTGACATTTCAGAAGATTTAAAAAAATGTCATTAATTTATTTGACATTCACCTAAATGTTGTAAATTTTTTATTGACGGTTACTAAAATATCGTAAATTATAATGCGACATTTTTTAAAAGATGTAAATAAATTTCATAATCTTTTTACCAACATTATTCTAAATGTCAGCAATTTTAAGCGAAGTTTCAAAAAATGTCATAAATAAATGTCGCAAATTTCTTACCGACATTTATGCAAATGTCGGAAAATTCCCGACCCCAAAATTTACGACATTTGATACAAATGTAAATTAAATGTCGGTAAATAAATTTGTGACATTTAAGCAGCATTATGCGACATTTATTTAATGTCGTCGTATGCTTACTTACTTTCTTGTAGTGATTAGAAAATTAAAAAGAAATAACTTCAATTCATTTTCTTTTCATTTCTTGTAAGCGTCAAAGTTAGCATTATTTTATCTTTAGCCAATTCTATGTAATATGGAGTTATATAAAGGTTTGAAGGATTCGAAACGCACTAAAAGTGCTCGTGCCGCATAGCTACATACCAGATGCAATTAGATGTTTTAGAACTATCCTACAAGGAACAAAGAAGTGAAAAAGATAGACCAAGACTTTGCCAANTATTTGCTATACTAAAAACCAAAAGTCACATATTAACTTCTATTAATTACGCCTGTCTCTTTAAATTTTTTTTCCCGTTCTTTTTTGGCGACTTACCCTTCTCAAAACGTTTTCCGTATATTTTCTCCAACGTTTCATTGAAAAGGCACCACACCTGTTGAAGAAATCAAAAAGTTACGTTTCATTGCCGCTGCAGCTTTGAGTTTAGGGTTTTGATGGGTTGGTAGGGTAGTCACTTTGCTGCTAAAGTTTCTATATCTTTGGCGTATAACATATTTATGTATATCTTTTATGCATTTTTATTTTACTATTTGGTGTTTTACTTTTTGTTCCTTATTCTTCTTCTTTTTTTAAATGGCTGAGTTAATTGGGTCATAAAAAGAGTTGGATTAGCATTAGTTCAATTACTCTAACTAATTTTTTGGTTAGCTTTTTATGAAGTTAATTTTTCATATGTGTTTTGTTGCGTTTTGAGTACTTTTTGTTAAAAATGGATTTGAGAATTGAGATTTTGAATGATTTTAAAAGTTATGATGCAAACAAGACATATTGTTGGGTCTGTAGCCAGTTTTCTTCATCCTTGATGCTTCTAATCTGTCAACAAATATTTTCACAGAGGCACCGTTGCAAAGAGCAAACTCAATAGCAAATCAAGTACTTACATCATGNTTCGCAGAGGCACCATTGCAAAGAGCAAACTCAATAGCAAATCAAGTACTTACATTATAAAAAGGTTAGAAGTGTTTACGATCACTTCAACTTTTCGTACTNATCACTTCAACTTTCGTACTATTTTTAGTTCGTCTATGTTCTTACTTCTTTTTATCTTGATTCTTGATATTGTTTGCTTATTTAAATTAGCAGGATTTTTATTTTCGAAAGCCCCACGAAACGTTTTTTTTTCTCAACTTTTACTTTTTCCCAATTTTTCCATTTATTTTTGTAAGCATTTTAATTATAAACCATCATTCCTCTTGATGAAAAGTTGGCCCCATTTTATTTTTTCCTCTTTAAAAATTAATTCCTCTATGGTTGTTTCTCCTCTGTATTCCATTGTTCATCTCTCTACATTTGTTTGAGAATCCACAAATATTATAAGTACTCTTTCGATCTTCTCTTTTTGGAAGTCAAGGTACGTTTTTTTTCCCTTTTCGTGTTTAGTTGCCTTCAATATACTTCGCCTATTTTATTTTCACACTACTTTGAAATATTAATCATTATGAATATGCAATCAGTCCGTTTGTCATTTCAATTCATGGTTGAAGATATATGCATTATTCGCTTAGCCGAGTAACGAACAACAACATCATCAACTTAAAGAATATAATATAATGGTATTGGACTACTACGATACTGCAAATTGCTATCATAAACAGAGAATATGAATCTATGCAAATATTTAACTTTTTTGCTTCTTCCTTATTTTTTTCATTTATTGTAAGTTTATGAACCTTATGGTATTCCTCCATGTTTACTTAGTGATAATAGGCTATATAGTTGTTATTTACACCATAATTGCCCATGCTTTGTTGTTGCTTTATCATGTAAGTTGCCAATAAAATGGTTTAATTAATGCTATTTGGTTTCGCAGGGAATATAAGATGTGAGGAAGCAACATAAAGTGTTTGGAGGCAATAACGTGAAGAAAACACCCACTCAAGAAGTACCCGAACACAAAAGAG